GCCAGAATTTGTGAGTAATAATAGATAGCATTATAGCAAACCTTATAGTTTTCAAAGCCTTTTAAGTGAGAGTTTGACAGATATTTGTATTGGAAAACCATGTTTGGAGGCAATCGATGGTGTAATGAGTGGTGTATTCAGTGGTCGGGCGTCACGTCTGGGCATCGGTTCAGTCCTCACATCAGTCCACAAATCCTGCGATGAATTGACTGCTGATTGTGGGCTTCACTCGTGTTTACAATATAACACTAATTCATACATTCATTGCATTCATAGCATACGACAGTACTCTCTCTCCATTCATAGATGACGTGACTCTGCATTGCAGTCAACGATAGCCTGATTGTGACGATTGTGTGGTTGTTGTCGACAAACGTGTCGTTGTTTTCACATCTGAACGACAATTCAATTGCAGACAAACAGTCGTCGCTCACAGCCGTCAGACACCTCTCACACCAACGCACGCCGAGTGTCTGTCCTCCGGAGTGACCACCGATTGGTGCCCACAGTTGTCCATTGAAGTGGTGATCCTTGGATCAGGTTTGGAGCCATGGTTTTGGCGGACTTGGGCCGTAAGATAACGTCAGCGTTGCGGTCGTTGGGCAACGCGACGATAATCAACAAAGAGGTGTTGGACGGACTCCTCAAAGACATCTGTACGGCTCTACTGGAGGCCGACGTCAACATAAAACTGGTGAAACAGTTGCGCGAAAATGTGCGGTCAGTCATCGACTTCGAGGAGATGGCCGCCGGACTCAACAAACGAAGAATGATTCAAATGGCGGTCTTCAAGGAATTGGTGAAACTGGTGGACCCGGGAGTGAAGGCGTGGACACCAGTGAAGGGCCGCACGAATGTCGTGATGTTTGTGGGCCTTCAGGGGAGTGGGAAGACCACGACGTGCACCAAAATGGCCTATTATTACGTGCGGAAGGGCTGGAAGTGTGCGCTCGTGTGCGCCGACACCTTCAGGGCCGGCGCTTTCGACCAATTGAAACAAAACGCCACAAAAGCGAGAATACCTTTCTATGGCTCTTACACTGAATCGGATCCCGTGGTGATCGCCGCTGAAGGCGTCGAGAAGTTCACGAACGAAGGCTTCGAAGTGATTATTGTGGACACGAGTGGTCGACACAAACAGGAGAGCTCTCTATTCGAGGAGATGTTAGCCATTTCGACGACCACTCAGCCCAACCTCATTATCTACGTTATGGACGCCTCTGTAGGACAGGCGTGTGAAGGACAGGCCAGAGCTTTCAAGAGCAAAGTAGATGTCGGAGCCGTGATTGTGACCAAACTGGACGGTCACGCGAAAGGTGGTGGCGCTCTGAGTGCAGTGGCGGCTACACAGTCGCCCATCATATTCATCGGGACGGGTGAACACATCGATGACTTCGAACAGTTCAAAGTGAAGCCATTCGTGTCGAAGCTGTTAGGGATGGGAGACATCGAAGGACTCATCGATAAAGTGAATGAACTGAAGCTCGACGACAACGAAGAGCTGATCGAGAAGTTAAAACACGGAGAGTTCACTCTCAGGGATATGTACGAGCAGTTCACGAACATCATGAAAATGGGTCCTTTCCATCAGATCCTCAATATGATCCCCGGCTTCGGCGCCGACCTCGTGAAGGGCGCCTCTGAAGCCGAATCCATGTCGAGACTCAAACGCTTGATGACTATAATGGACTCAATGAGTGATTCGGAACTGGATTCCAGAGAAGGCGCTAAACTGTTCACAAAACAGCCGACGCGGATCGTACGGGTGGCGCGAGGCAGTGGTGTCACCCAGAAGGAGGTCCAAGAGCTGTTGACTCAGTACACGAAATTCGCGGCCGTCGTCAAAAAGATGGGCGGAATTAAGGGTCTCTTCAAAGGCGGAGATATGGCCAAGAATGTGAATCCCACACAAATGGCTAAACTGAACCAACAAATGGCTAAAATGATGGATCCCAGGGTTCTTCAGCAGATGGGAGGTATGCCTGGCCTCCAGAATATGATGAGACAATTGCAGACGGCTTCACAACACAAATAACACGCATCCCATTCCTATAGACTTTATTTATTTTATATCAAATCTATTTTATATTTCGTTCAAAAGTATACCCAATGTTCCCTTACATTGTATTTCTGATTATTATTTCAATTAAAGAGTTTTAATTATTTTTATTAATTTTAACTCTTATATCAACTCTTGGTTGAGTGAACGACGACTTTTTGACATTGAATTGTATTAAATATTCTTTAGTTAATTAATGATATGTTTACTAATTATAGTATAAATGTAATTGTTTTTTGAAAAAATTGAATACAATTATAAATAATATGTAAAATATTTGATATAAATAAGTAATTAATAAAATTTGAATATTTACGAACCAAGTATATTATGCATTAATAGAATCTTGTATTATACCATAATTTATTTAAGAAACTATATAGCAATGCAGAAATGGACCAGGATTATTAGAATAATAATAAAGCTTATATGATAGATTATGGAATTCCTTAGCAAAGCATATGAAGTTTGAATACCACTAAATGGCTCACTTCATAATTAATATTCAAATTCCTTAATCAATCAAACATTATTAAAAAGTTTATAATAT